CCAGATATTCAAAGCTCATCATAAGAGCGGCACCAACCATCTCAAACGGCATATTGAAAAACACAACAAAGGCCAAAATCTACAAGGTGATATCCGGCAGTCTATGCTTTCCCAATCATCCTCTTCAGGTACCCTCGGCAGTTGGAATTATGACGCTGCCCGAGCCCGGAAATGCGTAATCAGGTTTATTGTTCTTAAAAACCTTCCTTTTAAATTAGTAGAAGATGATGAATTTGAAGATTTATTTAGAGATGGTTTTTATCCTGCATTTACAAAATTTTCTCGTCAAACCTGTCAACGTGATATTTTAAAATATTATGTTGAGGAACAGGGAAAAATAATTTCTTATTTTAAAAATTTAAACTGCAAATTTTCTTTAACTTCTGATATTTGGTCATCTAGAGTGCAAACTGGTTATTTATGTATAACAGCACACTGGATTGATGAAAGTTGGAAAATGTTTAAAAGAGTTGTTTCTTTTATTGCAATTGAAGAGTCACACACTGGTATTAATGTTGCAAATTTAATTGTTGAAGAACTTATGAAACTAGAAATTGATCAAAGAATATTTACTCTTTCACTAGATAATGCAAGTAATAATAATGTAGCTGTTGATTTTCTGAAAATAACTTTGTCATTGCCATGTCATGGTGAGCTTTTTCATGTTAGATGTATCTGTCATATTTTAAATTTAATTGTTCAAAGTGCATTTTCTGAAATTAAACCCATGATAGAAAAAGTTAGAACAGTTACTAATATGCATAATGCTTCTGAAATGAGAATTAAAAGATGGAAACAATGTTGTAAAAGAAAAAATTATAAGCCTAGACTAATTCCAAAAGATGTTGACCATAGGTGGAATTCCACCTATGCAATGTTATCTGTAGCAATAGAATATAAAGAAATTATAAATGATTTTATAAATTTTTATGCTTCTAGTTCTAGCTCTGGTAGTGCTTATGGAATAACTGAAGATGAATGGACAGTTATATGTAAATTAAATGAGATGTTACAAGTTTTTTATGATGCTACTATGTTATTATCTGGTTGTTATTATCCAACTATTACTTTAGCTGCTTTACAAATTTTAAATATTCAAAAAAATTTTACAAAATATCGTATGGATGATATTTTTGGAAGTATAATTTTTGAAATGGAGAGTAAATTTAATAAGTATTTTAGGCCTATTCCTCATATTTTTGGTATTGGTGTTCTTATTGATCCATGCTTGAAGGAAATTGGCCTTCGAAGTTTGTTACAATCATTGTATGGTGGACAGATTATAGACTTAGATGATGGATCCACCCTTACTGCTACTACTCATTATTTAGCTATTAGAAATTATTTTCAAACCTTATATGATGAGTATGCAGCTAGATATGGTGTAGCTACACAACAGTCTTCAGCTTCGGCACCTTCAGCTTCGAGCACAGGTCGAGGTAAAAGTGTAAGTTTTGATAGGTATGCAATGGTAGCTGAACTAACTGGTGGATCTGGAACTTCATCAGGATTAGATGTTTCTGAAATAGATGAATATTTTTCTGCTTCTTTAGTTAGATGTCAAGGAAATGCTTTAGATATTTTGCAATGGTGGAAAGTATATGGATCAGTTTCATATCCTATACTTTCCACCATGGTTCGTGACTTACTATCAGTGCAGGTTTCGACTGTAGCCTCGGAATCCGCTTTCAGCACAGCAGGACGTTTGATCGACGACCACAGGACATGCTTAGATCCGTATACTGTACAAGCGGTGATGTGCTTACAGGATTGGTGGAGATACGAGAAGCGAACACAAGGCATCGAACGGATTGCTATGATTGAAGATAAATTTGAAGAGTTGGGACTAGCAGATAGATATAATGATTAGATAATATTCATAAAATTGTAATTTTTATTTCTTAGCTTTAAATTTGAATTAAATTATTTCGAAAAAAGTTGCAAATGATAGTGATATGGGTGAGTAGGTGCCAACCTAGTTGGGATGTACTCATCTATTGTGATGCGACGAATTTCGAAATAAATTTATACTTGTAAAGGATTTACCGATTATTAATAAAGAAGTTATTTTTATCATTTTTTGTACTTGTAATTTATGTCATTTCATTTCAAGTTATTAATAAAATTTATGACATTTTTTATAATAATTTATAATTTATGGTTTTGTTAAAATTTAAAAAAATTAAAAAAAAACAAAATTAAAAAAAAAAACAAACCGGGCCGGCCCGGTGTCCGGCCCGCTCAGGCCCGGGCCCGGGCCCGGACCCGGCCCGGACCACCCGGGCCCGGGTCCGGGCTTGGGTTTTGCCCGGCCCGGGCCCGGTTTTCCTTCTAAAAAAAAATCAAACCGGGCCGGCCCGGTGTCCGGCCCGCTCAGGCCCGGGCCCGGGCCCGGACCCGGCCCGGACCACCCGGGCCCGGGTCCGGGCTTGGGTTTTGCCCGGCCCGGGCCCGGTTTTCCGGGCCGGGCCGGCCCGGCCCGGCCCGGATGGACAGCCCTAGATGCACTTATATACATATGTTACATAACTCAATGCAATCTTAGACTCTTTTTTAACTCAATTTCCAAACTGTGAAATCTCTATAGCATGCAAGTCATTGTATATGCCAAAAACTTGATAATGTTGTGGTGTATGTTGTTGGAATGTGATATACAACAAGGCCGAATATGTATATCATGACTATTAATCAAAATTAATCAAAAATTAGAAGAATACATAAAACGCTTCCAAAATTTCTTCAATAATATGTTCCAAGATCAATCTGAAATAGCTTCATCATGAGAAAAAGTCTCCAATTGAAATCCACCCCGTCACCAAAAAGGAATAATACTAAGAGATAGGTTCTCAACTTTTTATTTCTCTTCTGTTATTCTCTTATTCTCATAAGGCTATGCGTGAACCTCATTTTGTAGGGTTAGACTTGTCTTATAGATTTTAATTTTAAACAATTCTCAATTGCTCAAAAATATTTCTCATAACAATTAAAGATAGAATATTCTTTCCATAATAATTAAAGATAGAATATATTTTTTTCGTAACAATTAAAGATATAATACTATTTCAGTAAAAATTAAGGATAGAAATATGATTGTATTGCATATATACATCTTCTAATAATATTAGTGAGACTAATTTGGTCCATACCAAGAACCAATTATTAATCAAATTAATAATTTTAATTTAACAATCAAATCTCTATCCGACCAACTGTTCATGCGTATTCTTTCAATCATAATAACTTTAAGAACTCCCAAAAAGATAACATTTCAAAAAATTACCTTTGTGGGCATCGAGAACTGGATTGAATGGGAATTAACAAAGATGGGTCCTTGAGAAAAACTCTTAGCAGTGATCAGGATGGTCTTTTCGAGATTTGAACTTGTGGATTTGAAGAAGATGGAGCTCTGAGAACAGAGACGAGACCGAGAAGTTCTGTTGGAGATCTTGAGAGAATAGGAAATGGTAGCATTGCTGATTGTCGCCATTGAGATCAAGTCTCTTTTCTTAAAGGTGCTTTAGCTATGTAAAGGAATGAAGAGACTCGGAATTCTTGGTTTCTTGAGATGAATGAAGAAATGGTGAGGTTTCTTATAGCTTTTTACTAATTGGTGTTTATTCTAGTTAACCGTCTGAATAGTGACTTAGTTAGTTGTTAAATAATAATATTGGATTATTTGCTTTTTAATACCCCAAAGTCTCACCCCTTTTTAACTCTGATACCTTGAAGTTTTATTTTGACTATTTGATAAATCAAAGTGGAAAACAGTTGGCGTTAAGTTTGTTTATGAATATCAACATAGAAAAATAAATTAAAAACAAATTCTTTTGCCAAATTTCAATGTAAAGTGAGGAACAAAGTTGTGGCTTTGTGGTATCAAATTGTCAAATTAACTTCAACTTGAAACTTAGGGTAATTAAATTATCAAAATATAACTTTGAGGTTTGAAAGTTAAAAATAGTTATCTTTAGGGCATTAAAGTACAAGAAGCTCTTATATTAATAGCATGACAATTGTATTGTTGTGAGCAATTCCACAGGCTTCCCGCCAATCCCACAAAGGAGGTTGGAAGTGTTGGCCTTTTGAGCTGGGCCGAGTTGAGCCGGCCCAAAGGCCTATAGTACAAATAGACCGTGCATGGATTTTAGACTCCTATATTTGGGGGTCGATAATTATATTAGAGGAATTCTGTTAGCAGTCGTCCCTAAATCGAGCTGCAATAAGACAATCGCTGCATAGACAATGCCATAGTACGTGGCTGCTGCCAGAATTCCACGAGCACTTCTAGCCACACTCGTGGAATGAGGGCACTCGCTCACTCTCGTGCAAAATGTAATAGGAGAGGGTTGGGTTTAGGAGTGCTAAACTGTATCCATATTCAAAAAATATTCGTAACCGTATCTATTAGGTTACGGATATGGTTATTCAAATCTATAACCGATAGAATATTATTATCGATATGATTTTATAGCGAAATATCTGGACCCGTATTCAAAATATCCAAATGCAAATTAGTCATACTTTTACAATAGTTTTAATTCTTAGTTTATGAATTTGTGGTTAGTTTTGATGATCGAGATGTCTAATCTTAACTTTTCAGTTATAATAAACATATTAACAAACTCTTTTGTATCACATGAACTACATTTTTCTCAATATTATCTAGTTTTCTCATATCCGTTTTGTATCTGCATACATATCCACTTATATATCCACATATAAAACGGATATGGATATGAATTTTCCTTACCGAGGTATATCTTTATCCGTATCCGAGATGGATAAACGGATATGGATATGGTAAGCATCATATCCGAGCCGTATCTGGACCGAACGCATCCCTAGTTGTGTTAGTTTTGGATTAATGGCTAGGTTTTTTTTGGTTGAGTCATACCGGAGCCGTATCTGGACCGAACGCATCCCTAGTTGTGTTAGTTTTGGATTAATGGCTAGGTTTTTTAGGGTTGAGTTTAGATTTTTGGGACACTCCCTGTCTCTGATATCTAGTTAATGCCAAAAGATGTACATAACAGTCGCAGCATCTCAACTCTCCCTGTCTTTGATACACTCTCCATGTTCTCTCTATTGTCCAAAATGTCACAGCGAAGATTGACAGAAATTGACGAAAAACTCCCCCCGTCCTTTTCGAACCAATTCATGTCACTTTTTAGATTGCACAAAGTCTGCTCTCAGTCCGTAGCCTCTCATCTCTTGCACATAGACCACAGCATGCTCCAGCTGAACAATAGAGTTAATCAACAAGGAAAATTAGAGCTAGTAGTATCAAATGCAGCTTAAAATCCGATATAATTCTCCAGAAAAAAAGCCATTTTAGATACCCTGGCAGCCACGATGACAACTGCATATCCTTGTTGACGAGATATTTCCAACAGTATCCTTGCATTCCAGGCAGTTAAATATGGAAAAATCGCTGGTATTGTTGTTGAAACTGTTAACAGTTAATTAGAATCTCAAGCATCATTAATCCATGTCAACAGTCATAAAATTTAGGAAAGCAAAATTTCACAAAATCACCTTGTAGAAAGTTTGGGGCTTTCACAACCCCCTCCCCACCCCCAAAAAAAAATGTTTTCAATTTTTGAACCTAACACCTCACGGAGTTACCCAAAACTTGGGGGGTTACAAAAAATTTACCCTTAAATAAAACAATGAAAGAGTTAGTACCTAATTCCTCGGTATGACTTGGATCCTCCAGTAGCAAAACTAGCCACTTTCCTCTTCCATATTTGTTCCTCCATCCATTGAGGTATCCTATACATTCAAATCAAGATGTATCTTTCAGTAGATTGCATAGGCTTGATAATACGCATTACCAAACATTTTATATTTTTTTAAATAGAACAATTTATAGATAGTCGAGTCTTGACTGGTAAAATAATTTCTTCTCCTATGATTCTCCTTCATTTATCTGATTATATAACATTAAATTCATCATTAACTATACATCATAACATAGTTATCATCTAATATGGGTTTTCAAACTCGACACTCTATTTGTGGCATAAACTTGGCAATATCCAGATGAATTGAAGCAATCATTGAAAAACTTTAGTGTCTGTCAACAAACAAAGGACTTCACAATAAACAAAGGACTTCACAATTATATATACCTCTCTCACTGCATTGTATTGACATCATAGAAAACTATCAAATAAAGTTGCAATAGCTTTTACAAGAACATCTACTTACACTCTGTCGCAAATCAGAAGAAAATTAGGCAACTTCACTCCCTCCATACCCATAAAAGTAAACCCAAAATCAAACAGTTTTTAGACAAACCAATATTCTTCGAAACTAATAACCTCAGGAACAAGCAGGGAAAAAAAATCAAATGACAGAAAATTACCCATTTTTATCTCAGGAGTGAATTCAGACTCATACTGACTGTGGGTGGGACCAGAAACATCTCTTAGTGAACTCATGCTTTCTACAAAGGAAAAGATTCAGAACAATGTATTCTGAATCTTTAGAAACCAAATAAAGAAACATATAGAATGTGAACAAAATCACTATGAAGATTTTAATACCTTCAAGAACCATATAAATAGATTACATTCACGGTCTTTAGTGTTAGATATAGGTGCCCTGCAGTCAATAATTGTATATTGTAATAAGACCTATATAAATTTAACATCCTTATTCAAAATGATAGTATGCTAATTTGGTCTTTATTTATATGGTATTTTTTAAATATAGATAAAAATCCTTAGAATGATACTAGATTATCAGAATTTAGATAGTGATCGTAATGAAGAAGAGATCTGATTAGTCACTAACGTACATTCTAAAATGTTCCTAGTCGATGAAGTGTTGAGATAGGACATCATTACTTTGGTAAGACTAGTGTATACTCTATTTATCCTTTTGAAGGACGATGATCCATCTCTTAGATCACTGATGTGGAGATATCAAGATACAGTATACATGTGACTCATTAGTGAATGGGTTGACTGAACGACTCACCGAGAACATCTAGTTGGTAATATACTTTACTATCAAATGGAAGTTCTCAAGTGATATAGTACAAAGTAACCTCTTGACCTGAGACATGAGTGTAATATCTTATATATCAGTATATGTGTGCTTAGAGTTTTACCTTACCATAGTTCTCATTGAGTTGTGCATAACGGTTCTTGTTGGGTGCATCCCGAGACATAAGTAAATATTGAGATGCCAAGATGGGATTCGTCTCTCCCAATATAGGGGGTTGATGTCATAAGATTGTTTGATATAACTATAACCTGAAAATCCTTGGCCGAGGTAAATAAGATAAATTGAGTGTCAGTTTGACCTTATAGGTTATGAGTGTAATATCAACAAACACTAATCGCGCTATTAGGGTTTGACAGTTTACCATACCCTAGGATTGATAGTTTGACTTGGTTTGACGAAGAGACCGGACTGTACGGTATTATCACTGAGTGGTCCTGATAAAATTGGGTAAGCATCTTACAGACCTTTATCACAATTTATATCTGGGTAGTCTTTATGTGTAGCTAGCACCTCTGTTGTACTTGTGGATATGATCCACTGCCAAAGTTTTAAGTTGGGCCCTAGAGTCACACCAAATGCGTACTTGAATCCTATAAAATACAATTTATAGAGTAATATCCATGATTAATACACGTATGATTTTTTTACCGGATACACATGATTTTTTTACCGGATACACATAAACGATTATATATATCGGTAAAATCAGAATGTTATGTGCTTAAGAAATAAATTTTAGAATTTTTTCATAAAGTTAACTGGTTGACTTTTTAGTCAATAGGTGACTTTTAGTCAACTGGTTGACTCTTTGGTCAACAATTGACTTTTTTGTCAACAGTTGACTTATTAGTTAAAGATTAAAAAAATACTGAACACCGTATTTATGAAATACCATATTAGTAATAATGATTTGGTATTTTTATTTATGAAATACACATTTCATTATACCATGATTAATGAGTCATGGAATGAGTCATTAAGTAGTATGGTTTGGGAACATGGTTTTTAGCACATGGCTTTGATATATGATGATTCATGAGATGAGTCATTGCATGACTCATTAGATGAATCATTGTTTTTGATGATTCATTGCATGACTCATAGGATGAGTCATCGATGTTATGAACATATTTCACTCTATAAATATAGAGCTCTCTCTTCATGAAAGGTTAATAAACAAATGAAAAACCGGTTTTCCATAAGAGAATAAAAGAGAGCTCTATCTCTTACTAAACTCTAGCAATCTTTGAGTAAGAGGAAGTAGTAGGATTTTAAGAACTCTGGGGTGGATATCTTGCCTTGTGTCTCAAGAAGCCTATAATTTTTCACGTTCACTTGAAGCTTTGGAGATCCACTACAAGAAGGTTTACTACAACAAGGAGAATGAGCTAGGGGTTATTCGATCTACCATCGAATCACGCTACGAAAGTAAGCTTTCGAAACTCTTGGATCCTCTCTTTATTATAGAGATCATGCGAGATTTAATTAGGACGGTTCTAGTGTGGATTTCATGCTCCCTACATGCTTAGTATTTTTGTACATTCAGTCTTCCTCTGCGTATTTTACATGTATTTAGCAGGATTTTCCTTCATTCATGAATGTGCTCAAACAAGGGTTGAGCAATAATTGGCTTTGCCTTCGCAACAGTATCTACAGAGACAAAAATTCAGGTTTTAAATTTAACATAATAATAAAAAAAGTTTATGAATTAAGATAGTCAACATTAAATTAGTCCATATGAAATAACAACTCAAGAACAAAAAACGAGAGGAAGGAAACAAACCCATGAATTTACAATCATAAAAACATCAAGAAGTAATCTTAAGCAGAGGTGCATACGTTTTCATTGAAGACTTCACATTGACAGGATCTTAATAACTAATGCAACTTTCCAAAACAAGAAAAAAAGGACAGTTAATTAGAGGAATTTATGACATCATCATTTTCTTATTTATTTCTCTGAAGTGCTACAAATGGAGAAACTAATGGAAATCAAAGAAATAGATTAGTTACCTAACCAAAACAAGTACATTAAATTCATTCAGTCATCACAATTACTTCAAAAAATCCCAGAAAGATCAAACTACAGAAAAAAGAATGATGATAAGAATGTTAAATTCATTCAGTTATAAGAAATTCATGAACAGTCCATAACCAAAATGAGAACAAGATTGGTTAAATAGAAACTCAAGCATATTTTCGCAATCATCATAATAACTTAAAAAACTCCCACAAAAGACCATACTACAGAAAATTACCCTCACGGGCATCAAGAATTGAATAAACTACAGAAAATTACCTTCATGGTCATCAAGAATATTACCTTCATGGGCATCAATGAAAGAGATTGCTTCTCCATTTATTTGATTTTGTATATTCACTACAAAATGGGAAGAATGTCAATATGCATAAAACTGTGAGAGATCATAACCGTAAAAGAGACTACATTGACACTGAACCCAATTTCAACTTCGACGTTTACTGAGAAATATCTGACATAAGTATTAGATAGCCTTTATTATTGTAATCAATAAAATGTTAAGTGTCTATATAACAAGAAAAGATTATGCAAACATTACTTCTCTGGTATATCTGCCACAAAAGATTAGCCTTTTCTGATATAGCTGCACTCAAGTTCCCTTTAGCACTCAAAATATCTGGAACGAAAAGATTCAGAATAACATCTTCAACTCAAACAACAAAGGATGAAGATGTGCAATACAAGTCAGTTAATGCTTCAATTCTTACATTATGATTGTCATAACAACTAAAATAGAAACAGGGAGAAATAGTTTAACAACCAGCAAATTTAAGAAAATATTTTCAAAACTGAATCAATCACATAAATTTGCGTAAACCCATAACCACATAAAAAAAAAGGAATTACAGACTCACACTAGATTTTCCCCTTACACATCCTTGAAAATATACATATTCCCAAAAGAAGGAAAACATCAAATTTCTTAAAATAAAGATATGATCTAAATGTTATGCAAGTGAATGAAAACCGTTAAGTCATTGTTCTTGTATTCACAATAACCTCAAGATCACTCAAAAAAGACCGACTACAGAGAGTTACCTTCTTGGTCTTCACCATTGAGATTGAAGTCTTCACCACTGGGATTGAACAGGGGCTGATCAGAGGCGAAGGTACCCAAATTAGGAATTGCTCTCATGACATCTACGAAGAAGAAGAAAAATAATCATGATAAAACTTCAACTAAATCGAATGACCATGAGTACATTAAGCTCATTCAGTCATCAGAAATTAAAATAACAGTACATAACCAAAATAAGCAAAAGATTAGATACATAGAAACTCAAACATATTCTTGCAATCATCATATTAACTTCAAGAACTCCAATCAAACTACAGAAAAAAACTACCTCCATGGGCATCAAGAATTGGATTGAACAGGGGATTAACTGAGATGGGTTGATGTTGAGAAAAACTCTTAGAAGTGATCAAAATGCTCTTCTCAGGATTTGAGCTCATGGGTTTCAAGGACATGGAACCTTGAGAGAAGAAAAGATTAGTTACATTGGAACTCAACCATATTCTTTCAATCACAATAACTTCCAGAACTCCCCAAAAAGATAAAATTTCCAAAAATTACCTTCGTGGGAACCAAGAATTGGATTGAACAGGGGATTAACAGAGTTGGGTTGTTGAGAAAAACTCTTAGAAGTGATCAAGATGCTCTGCTGGAGATATGAGCCAATGGGTTTGAAGAGCATGGAGCTCTGAGAAGATGGAGGTGCTCGGTTGGAGAGCTTGAGAGAAGGGAAAATGGCAGCATTGGTGATAATCGCCATTGAGAACAAATTGCTGGTTTCTTGAGATGAATGAAGAAATGGCAAGGTTTTAAGGTTGGTTGTTCAGTCTTAAGGAGTTGGAGGGTATTTTATAGCTTAGAAGTTGGTGTCTGTTCAATTTAACTGTCTGAACGGAGAGTAATTTTTAAATAATAATATTGGCTTATTTGCACTTCAATACCCCAGAATTTCACCCCTTCTATAACTCTGATACCTTAAAGTTTAATTTTTGACAATTTGATAAATCAAAGTGCAAAACTGTTGGCGCTAAGTTTGTTGGAGAACATCAACATAGAGAAAGTGAGGAACAAAGTTACGGTTTTGGTCGGTTGGGGTATCAAATTGTCAAATTAACTTAAGATTGAAACTTTAGTGTATTAAAGCGAAAATAGCGGTTACGGTAAAAATAATTGTAGTGGCAGTGTAAAGCAATTCCACAGGCTTCCCGCCAAAAATGAACTCTTCCCGTCAACAGAACCAATCGAAAACCCTACCCGAGATCCTCAATCCTTTTTTTTTTTAAATCTCTCCTCAATTCCCCAGCCGGAACCCTAATCCCCACATCGAGATGATCAACAAAACCCTAGCTCGATCCAAGCGCAACCTTACTCTGTGCACTGAAAGGATCGAGAAATCTTTTCTAGGGTTGTCTGGATCGAGAGAGTTTGAGGCGGCGGGGACGTCATCGCCGGCGGCCATGGAGGCCGCTGAGAGGAATCTGTTGACGGTTGATTTATGAGGGACGCGATAGAGATGGAGTCTTGGAGACGAGGGGATGGGGAAGGGATTTTGGGGGTTGTTTGGTGATAAAATTGGAAATTTGAAGATGAGGTTACAAAGAGGAAATTGACGCTGTAGCCATGAAAATGGTCTTACAAAGAAGAGGAGGTTGCGAGGGTTGGTTTGGGCCGGGCCGTACAATGGCTTATTGAAGAAGCATACTCTATTAAAATGTTATTTTTTTGAAGGCTTTTTGATGTGCATAATTGGCTTGAAGGTCGCTACCCCGTATCAAAATTATGAAGTTGGTATGATGTTGAGAATTATAAATAATAAACTTATAACACTATGGCACCAAACATCTAGCAAAATTTTCTAAGACCATCTCCAACAACCCTCCATATCTCTAAAATCTTCAAATTTAGAGAGTGGAACCTCTCCAACCACTCTCCAAATTTAGAGATCTCCAAATTTGGAGGGTGGGGAGAAAAAATGGAGGGTCTCTTCATAACACTATTCATGGATTTTTAATTACAATTTTGTCATTTTTAACTATTTGGTTTCTTAAAAATTACCACTTTGCCATCCTTCTTAGTAATTTAAATTAGATATTTAATTTCAAATAAATATAGTTAAAAAATTATTAATCTAATATTTGAAATCATTATATATTTGGAAAGGGCTCGTTGAGATCTTTAAAATAAAACTAAGATTAATTTATTTTAGTATTATTATAAAATTATTAATTTTTAAATTAAATAAATAAGTATCAGACATGAAATTTTAAATACGGGGATCTATTTAACTTGCTCCATAAAAAAATACAAGCATAAATTACGAATATGAATTTCCCACTGGAAATCAAGGAGGATTTTCTCAATTTGCGGGCGAAGCTGGTTCTGTAGGAAGAAATGAATACGGTGTTTCTTGAGAGATCGGGATGGAACCGGTAGTTATAACGATAATGATCTGCCAGAATTTTAATTGTCTCTTATCATATTTTATGTTTGAGGTTTATGTTTGCGACCTATGGTATGTTGTATTAGAGGTTAATATTTGCTTTCTTGTTCTATCGATGTATGCTTTCACTGTTATTTCAGAATTTCTTTTTTTTTAATATGTTGTATTGCAATATTAATATTGGGTTCATTTTAAAGCTCTCATCAACACCTTTATAATGTTATAATTTTTTTCCCAAATAAATTATTAACAATAAAATTATTAACGTAAACTATATCCAACATTATTTAATTTATATGGTTTTTTTGACAAAAAAAATAAAAAGAAAAATATTTGGAGAGTGTGGGTTGGAGCAACCCTCCAAATTTCACCCTCCAAATTGGAATATTCCTAGAATATTCCAATTTGGAGGGCCAAATTTGGAGGGTATGGTTGGAGATGCCCTAAGAGCTTGCAGTCCCCACTTTGGCATATTCCTTAGAATATACTAAAATAGAGTTATGTAACTCCAACCACACTCCTCTATTTCTAACTCCATTTTAATTTCTCTTAATTTTTTAATTATTTTACTTATTTTAATAATATATAATGTAATCATATATTTAAATAAAATTAATTATCTTTAATGAATTGATAATAAGAAATAGATAATTGTCTTTAAATTATAATACATTTTTATTTTTAATTACTTGGTTCTTAGAATTTTATATTTCAATTAATATTATTTAATATTACTCTCATTTTGAATATATAAAAATAATAAAAAAAGTTATATAATATCAAATTCTTCCACTTATTATAAAATACTCTACACATTTACTTTCATAGAATACAAAGAGTCATCTTATAGAATACCACCCCACTTATTATACTTTGACTCTTATATTTTGGCTAAGGCTAGGTAGAGAATTAGAGAGAGAGAAAAAAATGTAGAAGAAGATAGAGAATTTGGTGCTTTTATTTTCTTTTTTTATATTCTTTTTTCATATCACATGCTTCCACTCATGGGTTTATATAAACTTATACATGACCCTTCATACTCTACATATTTACATTCATAGAATACAAAGAGTCATTTCTTAGAATACTATTCCACTTATTATACTTTGACTCTTAGGATTCCCTTCCACCTAGGATATCACACTATGACTTTTGGGTTGTTGAGGTTGCTAAACACTAATTAGTTCAACACTCCTCCTCAGGGGTTAGCAGATTTAACACTCATTAGTTCTCGAAGTGTGCAGAAATGATCCTTCGGCAAAGCTTTGGTGAGAATGTCTGTAGCTTGATCTTCAGTTTTGCAGTAGATGACCTCCATCTCCTTGTCCACGATCGTGTCCCTGATGAAGTGGTGATCTTCAGTTTTGCAGTAGATGACCTCCATCTCCTTGTCCACGATCGTGTCCCTGATGAAGTGGTATTTTCTCTTGATATGTCTCGTCCTTTGCCTCCATCTCCTTGTCCACGATCGTGTCCCTGATGAAGTGGTATTTTCTCTTGATATGTCTCGTCCTTTAGTGGAAGATGGGGTTCTTTACCATTGCGATCGCTGACTTGTTGTCGCAGAGGAGAGGAGTAGGTTGCAGTTGTTTTTCACCAATGTCTTCAAGCACATCCCTCAGCCACTTGATTTGTGATGTTGCTTGAGAAGCCACCACGTACTCGACTTCTGTAGTTGATAGTGCCACGGACTCCTACTTCATCGACGCCCAGGAGAACACACCCGATCCGAGTGTGAAGCAGTTTCCAGAGGTACTCTTCATGTTATATTCATCACCTCCCCAGTCACTATCGCAGAATCCGAATAGCTTTGCTGAGGAGTTCTTCTCAAAATGGATCCCAAAATTCTGGGTGCCTTGGATGTACCTAAGGACCCGTTTGGCAGCTCCCATGTGCACTCTTGTTGCACAATGCATGAACCTGCTTAAGAGACTTGAGGCAAACATAAGGTCAGGTCGAGTATTAGAGAGGTGGAGGAGACTCCCTATGATACTTCTGTAGAGGTTGAGGTCTTCTCCTTCGGTACCGTCTCCCTTCTTGAGTTTATCACTGACCACTAGTAGGGTAGAGATGGACTTACAGTCTGCCATGCCGAACTTCTTCAAGATTCACTGTGCATAGGCCTGCTGATGAATGATGATGCCATCTTCGTCCTGCTGCCAAGAAAGTGTTGAAGGAGGCCTAAATTTGTCATCTCGTACACCTCCATCATGTCTTTCTTGAACTCATGCATAAGCTTCTCACTGTTGCCTATATAGATAATATCGTTTACATATACAGCTACAATGAGAATATCTACCTCATCTCTTCGAATGTAAAGTGTGGCTTCACTAAGGCTCCTTTTGAAGTTGTGTTGGGTGCAGTAGGAGTTGACCTCTTCATACCACGCCCTTGGTGCTTGCTTGAGACCATAGAGCGCCTTGTGGAGCTTGTAGACTTTATCCTCGGCTCCTGCAACTTCGAACCCTTGTGGGTGATGGATGTAGACTTCTTCTCGTAGCACCC